ATACACACACACACACACACACACACACACACACTCACACACACACACACACACACACACACACACACCCATTGCACAATACCACAGAGATCATTAAGTGACTTTGTATACATTTCGTGCTCTGTTACTTTCAAGTAATAGATAGCCCAATAAACAGTCCGTTAACGCGAGAACTCTTCCATCACACAGATCACCGATGTATTTGCACCGAACAAGTTCTATAATATCATATATGTATAATATATAGATCTAATATATTATACAATGAACTCCGCTTGCATTGAACTCGCTTGAGTTGATCTTCAGTTCAGTTGATCTTTTTCATGGGTCCCCCCATGCCCAGCACCTCTTCAACTTTACAGATCACAACAGCTAAGGCCCCTGACACTTTTTGCCTGACAGATGAAGTACAACTGTCTCGCAGAAACTACTGCGACCATTTTTACATCTCGTCTGTCTAGGCCCGAAGTTGAACTTCGGATGAGTTGATCATTTTTTCACTCCGTGTCTCAGATTGTTGATGTAAATGGGGGCACGTCGGTCATACCATTAGGGGCAAAAAGTCTCACCTCCCGACCCCCTCGCCAATGTCTGACACGCGTGGTGAAGTCACTGCCACGTACTCTAGAACTATTATATATAAGATTATATACACTCGCATTATACACATGTATATTATATATATAACCTCTTTGGTTTGCTCGCGGTGTGAAGGGAGGGAAAAGAGGGAGGGCCATTAGCCACCGTTGGTTGCACGAGCTCACCCTGTGACGTGCGGAGAGACGGGAGAGGAAAACCGACAATGTGTAGTTTACAAGAGGCACGGACAGTCAATGTGTGCGAAAAGAGGTGTTGCCGCAAAACTGCCAATGTCACCAGAAGAGGCCCCTTTTTTTTTCTTTTTTTTTTGGTAAGTGTTTTACGGCGCTCGTAACTGCATTAGGTTATTTTAGCGCACGGGACACACCAAACATTTTAAGTTGGTAGGAAATTTTGAATTTTGCCGGGTGGCGGCCGAAACATCTTCTTATCGATTTTGGACCACCATGGGAACTTTAATTAACGTGCGCAACTTGCACACGGAACATCAGAGATTTTTCGCCCTCGTTCGAGAAGGCTAGGTGTAGGTCTTTCCTATAGAAGATCAAGATGTGGCTGAAAGACAGCAGAAGAAGAAGCCAAGGAGAAGCAGTAGAAATGCTGCAGAAAGACTCCTAGGAGCCCAGAGGAGAGGGCAAAGGAGGTGAGGATGTAGGGGCAGAAAGTGGAGACGAAAGCAGACGACATAGCATTGGTTAGAGAGCAGGAAAGGATGGGAATGGAGAAATTTTTAGAGAAGAATATTTTCCGTCGCCATCCGGATTCGAACCCGGGACCTATTGAATGAGAGGCGAACACCTCAACCTCTAGGCCACAAGATCCCCCCCAGAAGGGACCGTAAGGGAACGAGACAATACGCCTTCAAACCAGACTACCACCAGAAATATATTGCATTGAGTAAATTCCCCGGAATCAACTAGCGGGCAAGAGCTTACCGCACCCGTGAATCTGGCTTCAAATCAAGAGGAAGACCAAGAAGGACCTGGCTGGATGGGGTTACAAAGGTCCTGGAACAACATAACATATCTATCACAGACCCTACACACCTAGCACATGACCGAACCTTGCACCTCCCCTCGACATCCCAAGGACACCAGAGGAAGGAAAAAGTATTTTTTAAAAACAAAGTAAAAAGTATGGGCAAGCGCAGTATCTATTCGGAGACGTCTCCGACGGAGATAGACCAATCAAAATGCTTTGTGGCTCTAGACCAAGTACAAAAATAAAAATCTGAGGGGTTGCTTGAGG